TGATAATGATGCTGTTTTTCAAAAGATATAAAAGATTAATATTTTCTATTTTTGGGGCTCTCTTCTTGGGAAGGAGTCCTCAATTACTAAGGTGCCTTAATAAATGAGTAACTGAGTTTCTCGAGTTCAGTCTTTTATTGGATTAAAGGACTGGGGTGAAACCACAATTTGTGGACATCAATTGTATCCTTTTTTATTGTGTTTGGTCTTGGATCATAAATAAAATTTTGATTTGATTTGACAAAGAAATGAAGATGGTGGATAGTTTTGTTTTCTTGGGCTCAAGAATAGGTAAAATGTGGAATATACTAGAGTTGTAAAAACATTAACCCCAAGAAAGAAAGCAAAAGAAGACAAACTTGGACAAGATCATGAAGAATAAGAACATTTCAATGATAACAAAGTTCAGAATACTAAAGCAATAATCTTTCCAATATAATGTGCAGCTGTGAAAGCTGAATACTGAGAAAAAGTAAGAGAAAGGAGAAATACACCTTCAAAAGCCTGAGGGAAGTAGAAGAGGAGTAAAACTACAGGGAAGGATCAAAGGAATTAGTGGAATGTTTTTATTAGGAAAAGGTCAAGATGGCTAGCATTTGTCCACACAGTCTCCAGGAGTTGAATCCAACTACTCATTAATACCACAATTTTATGCACACATACTTATGAGTAAGCCCCATAGAACACAATGAAGTGGTTCAACATTGTGCTAAGTTGTTTCTTTAAACAATTGTTTATTGAATAAAAGCCTAGTTGACTGGGTTTGCCCATCAGAGAAAAACACAAACTATTTTCCAAATTACATTCTCTGGGTTCACAAAACCAAACTATATTATGACTTATCAGCATCATGTGAACCCAGTCAGTTGGATTCTCTCTCAGAAGAAGACTGTACTATTATTGGTGCAGAGAAAGAAAGAGAAAAATTGAAAACCTTAGGAGATAATAAGGCTCAGATTATTTTAAATGAATAATATTCCTATTTACTGTAGTATTATTTAATCATTATTCTGAAGATTTAAAATGTGGACTGTCAATATAGAGCATCACGGATGTACTGGCATTTAGATGAATCTGAACATTATCTGGTTATACAGTAGTCCTCTGCACTGAAGGATGTTCATATTTACTGTCTGTAACCTATTATTTTTATTATTTATTTATGTACATATATATCCAGTTTAGGAAGAGCTGATCTTCCCTGTTACTCTTCCTTGGATAGCATTGGGAATCTCTTGGGCACTGCCTGATAGGAGAGATTCAGTGATCTATCTGGGCAGTAAACAAAGAACATCCCATTCTTCCTGGGAAGAAAGCCACTAGCCAGGCCAGTGCTGTATAGAAACAACTAGGTATAGGGCTTTAAGTATGTCTTGCACCAAGCCTCATATAGATGTATCATGGACTATATAACAACACATTTCTGGTAAAAATATTTGACACTATCTAAAAAAAATAGGACATTTTAACAATGTATTTTATTTAAGATTTATCCCGTCTTTCTTTATGAAGAAAACCAAGGTAGTGATTTAAAAAAAAATCCAAGTACTTCAGATCTGAGCACAAAATATTACTGTTCCCCAACTGAATCAAAGTGCTATCCACTGATCCTTCGCTGAAAATTATACTGCTTTGACATCCACTGTCCCCTACTGCTGATCTCTATTTTGCATCTACTGCTTTGGCTATCCACTGTATAACAAACAATACAGAATCCTATTTTTTAAGTATTGATACTTGATTAAAAAATAAGTGGGAGTCATTTGATCAATACGTGAGTGGTTTTATGTTGTGAGTCTCATTATTGACAGTATGAATATACATTAGAACGTTTTTTAAGAAATCTTTTTTAGAGTTACTGAGATCAAACAAATAATGCATGTTCATACTTTTATAATGCTTTTCCTAACTGTTATACAATAAGGCAGTGTTTTTAAGTCACTGTAACTAAAAAGCAAGTGCATCTTGATCTATTTGTAAATGTTTAGTATATGTTTTTATGTCTCTATCCTTTTCACAGTGCTCTTGTGGATTTGGTTGTTTCCTCACTGACACTTGGAATCTATTCAATCCCCTCCCCCCACTATTTTTTCCGTTTTTATTTGAGGGATAAGGGTTGGCAAAGGGGGTTTTCTATTTGCGGACTGGCAATGGGAGCACAAATTTTAGGTCTGGATTATTTTGTGCTAACTCAAGGATGGTGGATAACACTGTGTAAACACCCTGAGCTGGCCTCCTCCAAATTTTATGCTGTGAGTTAGTGGAGGATACTAGGAGATGACAAAGAAAAATTTGGAAGGCGGAAGAGAAAGATAATCTGTTCTGGAACAGACCTAGCATATAAACAAGGGAGCCGGCGACTTGTACTTTTCTTCCAGTGCAAAAAAGAGGTGGCGGGCGCCAGAACTGGATGAGCCATAACGTGAAATAAAAGGTCCGAGTTCAGATAAATATACAGTAAGTTCCTCTACCGTCTGGCTACTTGCGAAAATATAATCTTCGCTCGGGGGATGTAACATTTATCTCTGTGGGGACCTGTGATATATCTGTGATAGACTTTTCTTAGAAGGATGAAATGCAACGGCAGGTCGCGCAAAGCCGGCACTTCGTCGCTGGGGAGCAGCTGCTAGCAGTCGCAGGAGCCTGAAGCACCTGTTCTCTGCCGGAAGGGCTTTCGGGACGCGCCAACCGCTACGGTTTCCATGGAAACGAGGCCTCGGCCGTCGCGAAGACCCTGCTGCGCTTTTAAGAGAATAATCTGTCGGGTTGGTGGAACGGGAAGGGCGGTAATACGCCAAGGGAGGTGTCTAAAGGGGTCCGTCCCCGCTCAAATCTGATGATTCTTCAGCTGGAGGCATTTACTCCAGTCACCGGCCTCCCTTTAACCAAAGGTTGGTGTTTTGCATTTAATTTGCAGTATCTCTCACTGTGTTCTTTTATAGTTACATATGGCATTAATGTCCCACTGTAATAAAACCACAGCCTCATGGATGGAGAAAACTCTCTGGATCCTAAGAACTTGTATGTCATCTCAGACTTCCCTAAACCCTGTGATAAATGTGTAATCCCTCATTTGTTATTTATATTTGTGGAGCCATTTTCAGCATTGCTGCTTAATAGTGTCTGGTTTTTGTTATTAATAGGGGAAAGTTTGCTGCAACTGTATACATAAGTATGCAGTGTATTTCCCTTATTCTTTCATATATTCTTCATATCTCTTTTACGTATTCATAGAGTTGCTTTGACCACAATTTCTGACAACTAGTAGTCCATTGTTTCAACATTTTGAGGGAGGAAAGGCTCAGGATCTACTGTAGTATAAACTTAAAATAGACTCTACATAGTTTTACAAAGAAAGTCCCCCAAACTTATCCCCCAAATCAGGGGAAAAAATATCAGCCCATTTCATTTACATAACACTGTCCCTTTCATTTTGCTTTGTTATCCCATCTGCTGTAGCCCTTCCTTTCCCCCAAAATGTGAACTGTGTCTATCAGCTATGCAATGGCTGTCCACCTTTTCTTACAATTAAATGTTTAGATCTTGTCCATTGTGATCCAACCACATAGGCATGGATCACCTGAATCTGAAAGGGGGAACTATTTTGTTAAACTAAAAGCTTTAATAATGTTGATTCTGAACCAACAATAACTGTTCAGCAAGAAAAAAACAGACATAACTCAGTTAAATTGGCCACCAATGTAGAATTGGATTTTGGAATTTAAGCAATAATCTTCTGAAGTTGCAGAATATCTGTCATCTTGGTAATAAATGTAGAGATACCACTACAATAAAAATATGTTTGTAAAACATCAGACGTGACAGTGGCCTTCTGACAAAGACATACACAATGTTGGATGATTGTGCCTATTGTGATGGCTGGAATATGTAATCTTAACAAATGCTAAGTAGAGCACTGTTTACTGTTATGACTTTAATATGTTCTTACTTCAGCAGGATCCCATTTTTGATTTCTTAGATTCTTATTATTAGTTCTGCTTTTTAAAAAAAAATATTAACATGTACACGTTAGGATATTAAAGCTACAAGAGTAGATTTACTCTGCTCCAAAAGCCTTGTAAGAAAAGAAAAGCGTGTCCCTAATAAACACATACCATTCCCATTTCAAAAAAGGAGGAGGCAAAAGATGGTGATAATGTTGCTTTAATTTGCTCTCTTGAGACTATTAGAAAGGTCTTGTCTAAAAATTGAATCACTACATTTAACCAGCAGTTGGGCATATGACAAGGACTTTAAAAGCCTTCATATCACTTTGCAAGTGGCTAGCATCAAACTTTGTACTATTTAACAGAGAAAATTGTGTGTGTGTATAGTATGTATCTGTGTATATATACGAAGATATATATACATATATATATATATATATATATATATATATGTATGTATGTATGTATGTATGTATGTATATATATCCCACTTTTGCATTATAAAAAACAAATTTTGAGAATAAACTCCACATGAGTGATGGATCTAGACTAAACTAGTTGGAATAAGACATGTGGAAGGTGGATTTTTTTCCTCACTTCATTACATGGTGGTCAGAACTACATTTTTACCTATTGCCCATCTCTCAACAAGAAAAAGTTGTTAACATTTATTATAGACTTATGGGATATGCAAAATGTAGGAAGACATATAGAGGTCCTGTCCTTTTTAAGTTGTTTGATGTTAGGTATCTGGAGCTCTTCATCTAACTGAAAAACATTACATTTAAAAGCTACAATAGGTATTTTTTTAAAAAAATGTGAGAAACAAGCAAGATTATTTTTCCATTCATAGTTAAGCCCTACTCTTTTTAAACCCTTTGCTTGGGTTGATTCTCAATTGTTTATTCTTTGAAGTCTTACTGATTCTCTTGCCTAACATATTCATGATGTTCAACTCATCATAAGTGATTAAAAGTGTCCTGTTTCTTTGCAAAAACACTATTCTGTTTTCCACTAGTGGAGAACTACAGGCCCATATTGCTGAAAGCATAGAATTAAACAGTAAAGTATTTGGTTTTAGTTTCTATTAATGTGCTGGGAATAGTTAAATCTCTATTAAAAGAAAGCATTAAAGTGCTGTATCATATTTTATCTGAAAACCCTTTCTTGCATTTGCAAAGATTAAAAAGCTATTGTTGGACTGGAAAGAGGCACTGGCCAGATGCATTTATTGCTGTTCCCCCTGGCTTTATGTGTCCATAATAAGTGACACAGAAAAATGTGACACTTCCCTTAAAGTTCTAATGATTTTAAAGAATTATAAATATAGGAGATACAATGGCAGCAGCCTATGTAAAACCAGAAAATTGGATGGAATGGTTGAAATATGTGTACAGTGGTACAATATGGAGAAACAAGAAAGGGGAGCTGAATCTTTTCCTCCAACTATATTTTTTATCCTGAAAACATTTGCCCATTTTTTCTCCTAATGGAGATTAGTGCCAGTCATTTAAGATTTATAGTGTTGATGTTCTGTGGAGTGCTTGCAAAAAAAGTGGCTGAGAAGGGTACATCTGAGCCACAGGTCACAGATTGCTCTCCATTCTCTTAAAGCAGCACAGCAGAACTGTTATAATACAGTGGTACCTCTACTTACGAACGCCCCTACTTACAAAATTTTCGAGATACGACCAGCTCCGGCCCAAAAAATTTACCTCGATGTGCGGACACCGCCTTGAGGTACGGCCATTTTTCCACCCTGACACGTGGTCCGCGGCCATTTTTCCGTCCTGACACGTGGTCTGTGGGCGTTTTTCTGCCCCGCTGCGCAGCGCGCGGGTGTTTTGCCGCCCCACCGCGCCCCTGACGCGCAGCGCACGGGCACTTTTCCGCCCCTGACGCATGGTCCGCGGACGCCAGAACGGATTAATGGTAATTACATTGAACCTTATGGGAAAATTTGCTTCAGGGTGTGGGGTGTGACCAGATTCGGAGGGCGGAATGGATTAACCGTATTTACATTGAACCTTATGGGAAAATTTACTTCAGGGTGTGGGGTGTGACCAGATTCGGAGGGCGGAATGGATTAACCGTATTTACATTGAACCTTATGGGAAAATTTACCTCGACTTGCGACCAACTCGACTTGCGATCAGAGTCACAGAATAGATTAAGTTCGTAAGTAGAGGTACCACTGTATACTGAATGGAGAACACAGCATAACACCCATTTAAAAAGCTG